AAACGTTGTAATAAATATGGCGACAAAGATTAGGACAATAGTCCGAATAATGTAAATAATGTATCTTTGTTGTTGGTATCGCAACCTTTCAGTTGTTGGCTCCGTTCTCCATCAGGCATTTTTCGAGTCCTTTATTTAATCTACATGGTTAGATGTTCCCGTTCCACTGATACCTTATTTAGTACCGATCAGTTACTTCAAAACAAAACCCTTTATTAAACCTATGAGAGTAGACTGTTCTTGTTCCACTGCTCACGGTTAGGCATACCCGGTCTGGTTCCTATTTTTAGTACTGCTCAGTCGTTGCTCGCTCTGTTTCCACGGAGCCCAAGTACACACTGCCCAGCCTAGGGATTGAACTCACTCAAATGATTACTTCATGAATTTCGTAACAGTTACTTTGTTCCGAAATTCATTCTTTTAGATTATTTTCCCGTTGCACGATCCTGAGTGAAGAATCGAACTTAAATTGCCAGCGCAACGAAAATAATCTACAACAGCAACAAAGATGAAGACAATCGTCCAAATGCAAATAATGATAACTCTCCATCTTTGAAATTCAGATAGAAACACCCAGGTGTAACATTCAGAATATTTCAGGTAAAAGCAATACGATTCTTTTATATATGATATGTCAGAAAGGAAAAAAAATAATAGATTACTTTTGGGAAACACCTGCAAACAAAGCATGAAGTGACATTTATTTTAGCTCTAAAATGTATCCAATCTATATATTATTACGTACGAGATCATCTCAAAAAGTATCAAGACTGTATATAACTTCTATCAATTCTACATTTAATCTCCTACGAATTACAAGTTTCTAAAGCCATACACTTCATCCAGCGTCGTTTACATTGATGGAAGCATTCCTAGAACTTCTTTTTAAGATCGTAAACAGCTACATCGTCGCATTCTCTTAGATTTCCTCAACACCTTGAAATAGTGCCCCTTTTCAAGTTGATTTATGAAGGCGCAAATGGCGAGATCTGGGGATTATTGTATTTGTCTGACATGGGGAATATTGTCTTTGGCCAAAAAACCGCTGCATAAGTCATGGTCACTGATGAATCCTCTGTGGTGTGATGAGACGACCACACTCTACACACCATCCTTCCAAGTACTGCTATAAACAATTTAATTAAGCGAGAACCTGTCGAACTCTTTAACTTCTTTGAATTTGGACCAGAACACTTTATTCAATCGGCAGGGGTCGATTATTCTCTTTTCAATTACCATACTACGAAGTATATTTCGTATCATTTAACAAACAGCCAGGGGGCCACATTCAGAATATTTCAGGCAAAAACATTCAATACAATTCCTCTATATATGATATATCAGAAAGGAAAAAAATAATAGATTATTTTTATTTCAAGATACTGAAGAGAGACGACAGATGTTTTAAGCAAATGCTTTTGGGAAACATCTGCAAACAAAACAAGAAATGTCATTCATTTTGGGAAGTAACTGATTGTTATTATGATTAACAACAAAATATTTCTTCAAAAAGTCGGTCATGTAAACTTGCCATCCGGCTAAGACCTAAGATTACCATCGGTAATGAAATATCGAAATATCGATATGAGGCTTGTTTTGTTTGTTTAGCGGCATATCAACACCTTATGGGTCATTTAATGCTGAAATTTAATTCACTTGTAAGTATTGTACATTTCTTTGACAGAAATTGTACTGCTGGTATTTTTACTATAAAAATATATTTTTAAATTTTCATAGTGTTTAACCCCAGTTTGGGAGTTAACTATTTGCCCATCACAGGGACCCCTAACGGGTTCCCCGCCCCGGGGTGAGTATAGACAAGGGGAGAACAGCAGTTAAGAGATGGCTCGAAAATGAGGCTTGAAACAGCTGTAGAATGTATTCAATCTATATATTATTATGTACGAGGTCATCTCAAAAATTACCATGACTGTATATAACTTCTATCAATTCGGTATTTAATCTCCTACGAAGTAGTCACTTTCAGATGACATACTCTTTATCGATTTTGTCGGTTCCACTGATTGAAAGAGTACCGGGACACTCATAGATTTCCTCGACATTGCTTTTTTTGTTTTTGTTTTTTACGGATACGTTTGTTAATATTTTTTTTGTTGTTTGTTCGTTTTTTTTTTTACCCAAATTTTGTTTTCAAATATTTTTTTCAATTACTCAATTTAATTTTATGAAGTCGCTATGAAACAAATTAAACTCTCTATAAAATATCAGGCATCTCTAAATTCGACAATGCATATATATATATATATATATATATATGGAGAATCTAAATTACCGATCATTTTGTTTTCCGACCAATTCTGTCACGTCCACTATCCAGAACACCCTATCCCATCTAAATAATCTTAAAATAGTCACAAATATGGATATTCTCAGATCCTGAAACACTAATAGCAATAATATTTCTGAAGCAGGCATTTATAAAATAAATTGCCAAAACTGTTCCTCCCAATACATTGGTGAAACAAGTAGAAATTAAAAAAAAAAAAGACTCATTTATGAGCACAAAAGAGACCTCACAAAAAAATAACTTAGCTAATTCACTAGTCGTTTTTGTTAAGGTAAAATGATTGTGCGATTGGAAGATGAAAAATTTCAAAATAAACACTGAACCTTCGAAAATTAGGCTTAATTTTTTAAAATTTCGATGAAGATTCCTGCATCCTCAACCAATCTCTTTTCATTGTGTATCTAGAGATAACTTCTCTCTTCAGGACGTAAACGATCATGACTCTCCACAACTTCCTTTCTTTTTAGCTCGGTAAACTTTGCTTTATGCTATATCTCCTAATTCCTGTTCTGTCAACTATTTACACAAGCTTTCCTCTGTCCCCTCTAGCCTTTAATATGTCCTGTGAGTGTCAAATTTTCCAAGCTCTCTTCCTCATGACAGTCAAGTATTTCAATTACATGAATCCAGAAATGTTTTCAAATTTATTTTCAATCAAGTTCAATTGATATTTACACTAAATGGTTCGAATTATTGTCTTCATCTTTATTGTCATATTTTCGATGTTTCGGTCGTTGTATGCTCCGGCTTTCGTCAGGTGATTGGAATTTCGAACTGAACCCTATATTTCGTCCAATCTACCCTACCGAAACGTCGTCAATATGAAAACAAAGACGAGTTCAACGATCCGGACATTGTAAATAGTGTAAATAGTTGCAATAATTCATATCAGAAATATTGACAGATCCTGAAGAAGGCTGGAACGTACAACTGCCGAAACGTCACGAATATGAAAACAAAGATGAGTACAACAAACCGAACAATGTAAATAGTGTAAATAGTCATAACACCTCATCTCAGAAATATAGGCAGATATTCAATTGATATGTCTAGAATTAATATGTAAAGATGCTTCTCTTTCCAGCTAACTTAAATCTGCAAAAGTTTAAATGCAATGCCAATCGCTATCTACTGTCCTCCCGCTCACTCTGTTCGAATCTATCTACCTATCTTTCTATCTCAGTTAGTTTATATCTATATATATATATATATATATATATATATATATGATCAAGGAAGGGCATGATAAAAAATATCGAAATGTTGCACAATTTTTGCCTTATTTTCACCCGAAATTAAAGCAACCATACAAAATTCAGAACGGCTCATGATCAAACATAATAGACATTCGTTGTCTGTTATATTTAACAATATATATTTGAATAACTATCTTTTGGTTTCGGTCCCGGCTTGAAGTGATCGGATGTTTAATCACAGTGATGAGCTGTGAAACAACGAAACAGTGTGTAGGTGACGATATTAGCTCTCGAAAAATAATTAATTCGGTCGAGCACTGTGGGGAGAAAGTCACGAATTTGTAAACTGTCACTATTACTGATGATAATGCAAGACTCTCCAAACTGGATTGAGTTCTCAAGGTCACTGGTGTGTTTATGAAAAAATAAATACGCAGAAATTCGTCTTTCTCCCTGCCGAGCGTCGGTAGCCAAGGGGTTAGAATCTCCGACTGATGCCAAATCAGTCGAGTTTCGGTCCCGGCTTGAAGCGATCGGATGTCTAACCACACGGAAAACACAGCGAGAAGGTCTGTCTGTGGATGACGATAGATATTTGAATAATATTGATTTTTGAATAATATTGGCATATAAAGCAACCAACCAGTTCCATTTTGTATTTGTAATCTAGAACACGATAAGTAACAGGCTTCATCAAATGATAGGAAGTTCTTAATCGCCGCTTGAACATCAATTCGGTCGGAGGAACCTCAGTTGATGCAAGGAAAGTTATTCTAAAGGTTAGGGTTAGAATAAAAATCTGTTTGCCTTGGTTTCGAGTTTTGTCTTCCTGCCTGCCTTCATCATTTTCAGTGCTAACCTTGAATGTGCGCACGCTACGCTCCATCTACCCGTTTGAGGATGAGTGATAGGCAGCTGCGAAAATGTGTTGAATTCCATTGACTTTCATGAACATTTTAAAGTCTTGGTTAATAAAACATGGACCCTTATCACTCACCACCAACACAGGCAGCCCATGTGTTGCAAATATTCCTCACATCTCCTCAATTGTGGCTGCAGCAGTAGATGTTTTTATAACACCTTTTCATTTTGAGTAAGTATCCACAACAATCAAATACATGTGTCCCAAATATGGACGGACATATAGATTCTCTCGCAAGGCTAACTCGGATATTCCCAGCAATGAATGGGAGCTTTGTTTTGAACGAGCACACGGGTCACGCAAGCCCTGCAGGTCCTTTTAATGTCCAGATTTGGTCACCACACATTACTTCGAGCAAGGGCATTTATGTGCACAATCCCTAAATGTGTCTGCTGTAGCTTCTGGAACATCTTTGATCTTAATTTAGGCGGGATGACAACCCTGCTTCTCCATAATATTACACCATCCTCAAAGGTCAACCCCTCTCGTTTGTTAAAATAGGACTTCATTTTTTCAACCCTTCATTGTATGCTCGTACACCCGGCTGAAAATGGAGTCTCGTTTCTGATCTCACCGTTGCCACAGTCATAGGAACGTCAACCAGGTTTATCAGGTGTACCCGATTTGTGGATGGAGAAAAATCCTGTTCTTGTGCACTTAGTGGGAAACGACTAAGACAGTCCGCGTTACCATTAAGAGATCCAACACGGTACTTCAACTTATAGTTGTATGAAGAGAGCCTAGCATTGAACCCTGGCAACAGCAAAATGGAGAATGGGTTTTGTATTCTGCGAACAGTCCCAACAATGGCTTGTGGTCGGTGAATATTGTGAAGAAATTCCCATGCAAATACTGGTGCAGCTTTTTCACGGCCAAAAAACACCGCGGCCAACCCAACCTTTTCGATATGAGCCTGATTCTGTTCGGCAACAGGAAACGTTAGTGAAATGTAGTACATCGTCTTCTCACTCCCATCTTCCATAGTCTGAGCCATTTGAAGTATGTCACAATAGCAGAGTGCGTTGACACTGATCGGGAACAAGTGGCAACAAGTCATAATAAGAAAAAAAAAAGAACCTCCCCCAGTGTAACACCTTTATTATTTGTATTAACTCTTTTTTTTAAATAAATTCGCCCCAAGCAAGGTGACAACGCTACTAAGACACAATATGGCAACGGGAGTGAAAGTGAACGAGAAGGGATCGGAAACTCGATCCTAAACAGGAAACAATGAATAAATCTCTACTTCAGTTCAAAAGACCGGGGAAGAGTTTGAACCGGGGGATAGGCGAGAAGCTATACTTTATCTCTTTTTGTATTTCTCTTTCTTTCGTCTTTAACCATTTTCTTATTGAATGTTCATCAATTTGGTGTTGTTCCTTTATTATAGAGAAGAGAAAATAAACCCCCACACCAACGTCAAATTATGGAAAGCCAACGCGAAAATGCTTATGCTTTATTTATATGTCTATGACGGGTGGATCTTACCTTTACAGCAATCAGAGATGTTTACATTCGATTTATGTTGTTGCTGTTTTTCTCTTTAGAAGCGCCACGTATATTAGAGAGAAGCAAGGAGAAATTGGATGAAAAGACACCGGCAAGAATTTCTTTGCATTTCCTTTAATATCTGGTAAAACACGATGTATTCTTTACAAATAAACAAAAAAGAGAGAGAAAGAAAAAAAAAGCCAGAACATTTCAAAGAGAATATCAAATCATTCTGTAGAATTATGCGAACCATTTATTTTGAGCTCCGTAGGAACAAACAAATCGAAACGAAATGGAAAGTAAGAAAAAGAACGGTAATAATAGACTTTATATTATATATATATATATATATATATATATATATATATATATATATATATATAGTTTTATATTTAGATACAGAGAGAGTTGATGTGGAAGTAGGAAGTTTATGATGTATAGCTCTTCACTCTGGAACTGATGATTTGAAGAGAACCAGGCTTCAAAGTAGATGGATGATGCGCAGGAATATAAATACTGACAGACACAACACAGAATGCTGCATTTAATAGCAGAGATCGTTGCAACAATAAAAGTATAATAAATAGCAAACTATTTATGGTTACATTGTACGAATACTAAAAAAAATAAACCCTGACCTGAGTACACTCTTCTCTATCTCAACAGCGGAAATATATAATTATTATTAGCAACAGAATAAAAATTGTTCACTTAACTTATACGAATCCGTACTCGGAGTTTCATGGATTTTTTTTTTTTTTTTTTTTGACATTCATCTTCTTTTTCTGTGTGCCTTGTCTCTTCAGAGCGTTGGCGACAATGGCTCTCCACAATTTCCAGTCATTTGTTTGATTGATTTCTTTAACAGCATATCAACTTCTTATGGGTTATTCAATGCAGAAATTTACTTTTCTTGCAAGCTTTGAAGTAATAAAAATATGATATATGTTATTCTGCTTTCACAGTTGAATACATGGTAGATGATACTCAGCTTTTGTGCATATACCTGTTTGTGTGAACATAATTGCCAGAAGCGATGATGTATGCTTTATGTTGTAGCTTTACTGAAGTTATATTTTGGAATAAAGTTTGATTTCTTTAAGAAATTGTATTGATTAATATCCTTAAAGAGTCCTTTCATATTGATTATTTGGTTAGTTGAATTTGTTTAGCGGCATATCAACCAACTCTATAAGTTATTTAATGCCGAAATCTAAATCTTTTGAATGCAACTGTATGTCTTCAGTTACAGATAAAATGTATTGTTGGTCATTTTGCTATAAAATGTATTGTTTGTATTTAATGTCGATGTCTGATTGTATTTTTTTCCTAAATGAAGGTTTTTACTATAAATTGGTATTGTTGGTAACTTTTTAATATAAATCCGCAAGGAAAATTAGTTCTCTGTGTCGCGTCAGAAGGTTTTTCTTGTCTGAGACCATCCTTCACATCTACAAATCTACCATTCGTCCTTGCGTAGAATACTGTTGACATATATTGTCTGCTGTCCTCGCTTTTCATCGCGACAAAATCCAAAGATGGATATGCAATGTGATCGGTCCTGACTTGGAGTCCCGACTCCAGTTACTTTCTCACCACGTAATCTGGCTTCCCTCCGTCTTTTCTAAAAATATTTTCATGGCATCTGCTCTGACGGGCTATTTTCACTGGTTCCCCGACTGCATGAACTTAAGCGTGCTACTAGATTGGCAATTCGGTCCCACACTTTTACTGTCGAATCCGTTAAATGTAACCGCTTCTTTTACTGATGCTACCACCCCGGCTCTGGGTGGACCTGAGAACAACAGCAATTATGAGGTGATTCCATGCTCATCAAAACCTCTAGTCTCCCGATCAGACACCTTGCTGCCAGATGTAGTTTATCGTCTTCTTCTCCCTCCAGCTATGGGTAAATAGCAGGAGAGACTGGGTTCTGTAGCCTTGGTTGGCAACTTATCTACCGCAAAAAGAAACGGCAACCTACTGCGGGAAAAAATCTCGTCAGTTATGTATCGAAAAATACATGATCGCTTAAGCGTGTATCACGCATGACACATAATTGACTGATTCTTTTCTTTGTTTCTGACAATTTCTTTTTTTATTCTTATTTTGAGGGGTTTTTAATAATTTCACCCTAAGTAAGACGACAATGCCGCTAAAATGCAAGGACAAAATAAAGAGTTCACTTCAAAATTCCAATCACCTGAAGAAGACTGGAGCGTATCACTGCTGAAAAGTCAGGAATATGGCAACAAACATAAGAACAGTCCGAACAATTCAAATAGTGTAAATGCCTATTTTTATTGCGTTAATCAGCTTTCAAAATGATTTCTTTTAATACGAACTCAATCCTATTATTAGCAACGATGAAAATATATGAAAAGATCCCAACCTAAATGACATTATTTACTGAGTATAAGTTGACATTTAAAGAGCTACGCACTTTTTGTTGATTTAGATTTGGTATTTTTCCATGTAAATGTTTCCTCTCTTCAAGTTGTTGGAAATAAATGTTTCTTTTTTTGGTTTATTTAACCAACTCGTAAATAGACAACTTCTATATTCGACGGACTGAGTAACACGATCTTTTGGTGGTGAAACTTTAGTTTTGGTATTGATTTAGGTTTCTTATTAATAAACTATGAAAGTTATTCCATAAAGAAGAAACACGCATGCGCGGTCATGCAAATACAATGGCGGAATATAAAAGATCGTAAGAAAAAAAAAACAGACGTTTTTATTCCCTAGCAGAAATTTAAACAGTAAACTTTCGGTGCATTTATACTCTGAGCCAGATATGTAAGGTGTAGTGATCATACTTTTCGCTTGGTTTTTATTGAATTTTTTTTACGCCGCTAGTGTGTGTCACAGTTTTGTGGGCTCTATCGACCTCGGGGAATTACAAAAATAGAAAAACACAGCAGCCCATGTTGAACAGAATTTTTATTAAACAAACTCAGAGAAAATTGTAATACAAAGTTAAGCTTACCACAGTTATTTCCCTTAGATAAGTCCATTATTTTTTCTCTGATACTTCTCTCTTTGGTCTTAAATCTCTTTAAATTGTTTTGAAACGATTCTAGTGTTCAAACTTGAAAAATAACCGACACTTTATGTTTTCTCTTTGATCTGGGAGTCTGACTCTGTAAATGGCCTTATTCTTCTCTTTGTAGGATCTCTTCAGAACTTGGTAAATGGCTCTCCACAACTTCTATTCCCCTTGTAATACTGTGACTTTTTACTATTCCTCCTACTCCCAACAATTTATACAAGCTTCTTACGTATGTTACTCCCTGTTTTTCTTTGTCTCACCTACCTTCAGTATATCATATGAGTGTCAAATTCGCCAAGCCCTCTTTCCTCATTATCCGTCCTAGAAATTTGAACAATCCCTTTATTTCCTTAATGAAACGAAGCCGCAAGGGGCTACCGGAAATAAGAGTGAATTAGAATACATTAGAAAGACCCAGAAACTCAATCTTAAACAGGAAACAACGGATAAGCCTCTACTCCTGTTCAAAAACTGGGGACTAGTGTGAACTGGAAGATAAGGGAACCTATCTAGCTGGTGAATTTCAGAAACCAATTGAAATTTTCAAATGACCGGACGATAGTCGAACCTATCTACTCCTATTGGGTGAAGAGAAAATATAAAATAAATAATTAGTGAATAGAATTTCAGAGTTCGGGCGAAGACGTTAGGAGTATAGATTTAAAGTAGACTTTAGAAGGGACCAGAAACACAATCGTTAACAGGAAACAAAGAATAAACTTGTAGTCCAAAAGACCGGGTGATCGGAGAACCTATCTACTTTTACCTAAAAACAGTACCTTTTATATAGGTACCTCCGGTCAATTTTTCGATACCTAAGGTTTAAAATGAATTTTTTAAAATGATAAACCATTTTTAAAGATTTTATTTTAGCTTTAATTGAAAGCTAAAGGATTAAATTTATTATTTCTAGTGAGTAAAATATCCTGGTGTATTTCAGATAGAAATTATATAGATTGGAATGTCAAATATAAGCTTGATTTTATTTTTAATTTTCTTAAAAGCGGCCATTTTCTTAAAATTTTTTAATCATTTTGCAAGAATTTCCAAATCAATGTGTGTTTTCCTTGGGAAAAGCACAAAATAAAACAAACCATTTTTTTCTCTTTTCAACCGCTGTCGTATAAAAAGACAAGATTTTTAACCAAAATTTTGAACGTGTTAGAAAGGAGTAAAGAATTTCAAAAAATTATTAAAAAAAATACTTTGGTCTTTCCTCTTAATAATAACATAAACATTTTGATGGCAAAAGTCTGTTTTCGTTGAGTTATGGGTCTTTTTTCATCATGCTATGCTGTTTTTTTTTTTTTACGCGACCTGGTGGAAGTACTTACTATTTCCTTTCGCTTTGTGGACAGGAGACAGGTAAGCTATTAGAAATCTATCTTCGCATTTAAATAGGAATTGGAGATTGT